TTCTAGAAATATGTTTTTGTATTTTTAAGTTCTTTTGAAAAAGGTTTGAGTTGGTCACACACTCAAAAAAAAAAAGAAAAGTTTCTAAAAACCCGGATGAGGCCCCCAAATGTGAGCTACTAGCTTCTTTTAGGCTAGCAAATCACTAAAGAAAAGGTATAAAATTGTAGGGATTATGATCTACAAGGTTTAAGGGCGGAGAAATAAGGTTCAAGCTCCATACTTGTAACAAACAAGTATAGACTGCAGTTAGAGGACCTTTAAAGAAAGGTTTTTCAGGGATTGGGGGGGGGTTTTTACTATTATTAATAGTAGAAACCGTGCACTGAATCTTCAGTGACTTACACTTAATCAATTATCTTTCTGCTAGAGATAAATTGATTAAGAACACTAATTTCTTTTATAGTGTTTTAGTACTTTACACTCTGACTAATACAGGTACTACGCAGGTTTAAAGTTTCTTGATCTGATTAAATCCCAAATCAGATCAAGCAGCACTTAAGGACTACCTCCTTTATAGTTTGATTCCACGAATGGTAATCAACAACTATTACAAAACTGTGACTAAGACCAGTCACAGTAAATTGAGGAAATAAGAACCACAAGACAAATTAACAATCACAAATAAGATAGTAAAGTTTCACTTTACTGAAAGCTTATAATCTAGTTGGTGATGGGGTTTTATTGTATAATAAAAGTGTTAAAGATGTAATGTGATGATGATTCTGAATTTCGCATATTCAAGGTTTTTATAGTCTGAAGTTTGAAAATCCTATGCGCACAATTTGTGGTTCCAAGGTTAGGTTTATACTACATATTAGTATTGAGCTATCTGATTGGCTACATACCTGTTACATGTGTGTAATGTATGTAATCTTTTAGGAAATGTAAAGTCGTGTACTCACACAGTCTTTTACATAAGTTCTACATGTGTTACATATGTTCATTCATATGTAATTTGACTCTTGAAACTGAGTCTGAGTTGTAATTATTGTTTTTTTAATGTTTTCTTATTGTTATTTGTCAGCCTATGGTACTATGGTTCAGTACTCAGGGCTGACAGTTGCAGACAGCGGTAATCACAAGGGCAAATCTGAGCTTGAAGAATATCTGAAGGGGGAAAGTCCAATCCTCAAGGGACAAACTCCGTTGACTTGGTGGAGGGTCAGTGTATTTCATTTTTTTGTACTAACATCACATTGTCATATTCTAATGTTGTTCTTTTACAGGAATATCAACACCAATTTCCAATTCTTGCTCAACTCGCCTGCGATTACCTTTCAGTTTCTGCCACGTCGTGTGCCTGCACAAGGATGTTTTCTGCGGCCGCGGACATCTGCACCCCTTCACGAGGTGGGATGCTCCCTAAGACGATGACGCGTCTAGTGGGTTCTCAGGCTTGGCTAAAGGAGGATGTTGTACCGGACGGGGATTTTGCAGAAGCAGCAAAATATCTTCAAGCCTATATTGACAGTGTTGCAAAAAAGAAAAAAAAGTAATCTCTGTTCTACTTTTCTATTCCTTTCTTTCATTCTTTATCTTCTACCTAAAACAAAATTTGTTTTAGCTGGCGGGTTTCTTTATGGGGTGTAAGAAATTTGCGGTCATCAATTTGCAGTCTTCCATGACCGCAAAGGCTGATGTCCGCAAAAGTCAATTAATCCCGGGGCAAAGTTAAATTTTACGATCATTCCAATTTTTCCAAAGCTCGCAAAAAAAATTGATGTAAAATAATGACCGTAAAATTGGGCCACAGGTGTCAAATTATTTATTTTTACGGTCATGAGTTTGCGGACATTAATGTACGTAAACAATAATACTCGTAAAAGTGTAAACTTTTGGGGTAAAGTTGAGTTTTGCGACCAATGTTTTGCAGTGTACAAAGACCGTAAAAAACTTTCCGAAATATAGATTGCAAAAGTGAAAATTATCATTTTTAAAATGTAATTTTGCGATCCAAACTTTACGTTCAAAAAAATAAAAGTAATTCATTACGAGCACGAAAACAGCTTGAACAAAATGCAAGAAAAAGTGACCAGCGAGAAAAAGAAATGAGGATGGAAACTTTAAAGAAAGTCAAGAAGGTAACACACACAAATGTAGCTCGAAGGAGTGACTAGAAGATGAATACCAATTACGCTTGACAATAGGAGTGAGACTCAATAGAACAAAAAAAGACTAAAAAGAGACTTGAAAGAGAAACTTGAAAGAGTGACGAGAAAATAAAGAAAAATTATCGAGTAACCTACGCTATTACGTTCTCTTGCGTTTTGTACGCTTTGACTTCCGTGGTGCAATACTTTGACCCTCATCACCTTCTTCGGCGGCCTCCAACACCTCATCATCATCCTCCTCCTCTTCCACAATGGCCCATCCTTTCCAACCTTTCGCCTTTTTGGCTCCTTTAACTAAAACCCCTTCTTCTTTCTCTTCACATATCTTCCTTTTCCTGGTTGTCTTATTAACTGTTTCCTTTTTAACTATAAGAAATAAAGAAGAACATACATAAGAACATAAGAATCAATGACTGCAGAATTGATATCTGAATAAAACAATCGAAGTGCTCACCTGGTTGTGGACTCTCCTTCTTTGATTTCTTTGATATCCTCTTCCTCTTTGGCAGAGGAACTTCGTCATCTTCATATTTGTTTTCTTCTTTCTTGGTTTCTACAAGAAATAAATGAAGAACATACATAAGAACATAAGAATCAATGACTGCAGAAATGATATCTGAATAAAACAATTGAATTGCTCACCTGGTTGTGGACTCTCCTTCTTTGATTTCTTTGATATTCTCTTCTTCTTCGGCAGAGGAACTTCGTCATCTTCATATTCGTTTTCTTCTTTCTTGGTTTCTACAAGAAATAAATTCATACTGATTGTAAACAATAGGTAAAGCAAACCAACCAAATAAAGACTCACCTGTTTCACGTAGCTTGGTCTTCAGCTTTGCCAAAGGAGGAGCGTCAATTTCTATATAATAGAAATAGATGGCAACATCTCAATAAACAAGAATCTAGTACATTGCAAAAGAAAGAAATCACACACCTTCTGCGTCATCGGTATGTTCTTTTTCCTCACAAATTGGTTGTGAAAAAGGTTGGACAATTACGTTATTTTTACCCAGAGACCTGCTTATCTTCGTGTTTGCATCATTGGAGATAGAAGCTTCTTTATCTGTAGGAGCTTGCGAATACATCACCCATGATGTATTTGCTATTTGACCCCCAATCACTTCCACATCACTTGACAGAAACGTCGCTATTCCTGCATTTTCCAAATCATTGTGGCCCCATACCCCGGTCAGGTTTCCTACTGTACGTACCACTTGACACCAATAATGTTCACCATTCCAAAAACCTCGTGCTCGCATTAAGTAGATAGTTCCGTCGAGTATCATTTCGTATGGTAAGTTACACTCTCTCATCATCTTGAAGGCTTTGGAGCGATTTGTTCCATGTAGGTAGGCAATGTCAACTTGGATATGGAGATGAGGAGGTGGAGGATTGAGGTGAAGTCGTGAGTGGAATTCCTTGTAAGGCTGGGCATGAGGATTCGTCGTGGTCTTGCAGCTTTTACAATACCAATTTGAACCTTGATAGCTACCTGTGGTAGCCCAATCATGTAGGATCTGGGGTGTTTCAGAATAAGATTCATCACCGTTGTAATTCTCGTGCAATAAAATGATAGTGTTGAGATGTGATACTTCTACTAAGACATGATCTTCGCTTTTGGACATGTGTATGTGCGTTTGAGGTCAACACGAAACAAAGTTTGTGTGATTGCTGGAGAGGCTGGCTCCTTAGGTCGTGTTTCCCGATCAAAAATACCGCTGAAGTATTGGTCAGCAGAGGAGTATCTGTCCGGAAGGAAACTTCCAGGACATTGTTGTTGAATAGCTGTGTGGAGACTATTTTGGCCATTAGAAAGGATGCTACAAATTTTACCTGCCTGACCCATTTCCCAGGTGGACCTTGACGAAAAAACTTCAATAGTTTCGCAAAGATATGATCTGATTTTCCTGAAGACTTGGTGTACCACAACGCCGTATGAATGGCATACAAGCATTCAGTCATGGCATCAAGCCAACACCTGAATTGACGACCAGGAGTTGAGGAAGCATAAAATCCAGGGTACGTAGTGACCGGGTTCCGGTCCACATTCACGGAACCTTTAGGACGTCCAAGCTTCTTGCTACGTCCTAGCAATGCATCAGTCGTATCCGGGGGTCTTCCATCGTTCTTAGCTTCGCGCTGTTTTCGAGATTTCTTGGTCCAGCCAAGAACTTGTGCTACTTTCTTGTAGTTCTTAGCCTCATCCCCATACACTATTGCCACACCGCAAAGCCTGTCCTCATGGTCCCTTTCAAGACAGGCCACCAAGGCATACAGCTGCACGATACCAATCTGAATGGAGCAGTTTCCTTTGCTGTGAAGGAAAAAAAGCAATTCAATGATTAATTCAAAAGCTTACAAAGAAAAATCAAAAACATACGCTATCATGTAATACACATGATGCATCGATTCTTGTGCATTCGTTGTTGACGGCATGATGTCATCGCAAAGGCTATCGTCGTCAAGTTGCTTTTGTCGTGATTTGAAAAGCATTGACTTTATGTCGGATGCTTTCCACCATTCAAGCCACCGTTTGGCTTTTGGGAACTGCTTAATCATTTTTTTTAACTTCTCATCAAAAGTTAAACTACCTGGCCGGTCTAGTTTTAAAAGTGAAGATGCTTGCGCTTGAAATGAATCCTGTAAATTCAAATATAAAAATATCAGCAATATGAAATACAAATGGAATTGTAATAATTAAACACATACCTCATCCTTTTCAGGTATAATTGCTCGGTTGCGCTTGACCCGAGTGACTTGAGCTCAAAAATGTTCATGACAACCTTGAAGTTTGGAAAGTGCCACTGCCGGATCAGTCTCCTTAAAAACCTTCATGTACGCTTTGACAAATCCGTTCTTTTGGGCCAATGAAAAGTCGACTACCTGTCAAACCAGCGTATCACGTTCCTTGACGGTTATTTCGGCATGCTTGAATTGTTTCATCAGGGTACTGAAGTGTGCGGCGTAGTGATTTTCCGTCATGCCTTTCAGCCAAGTCAAAAGAATTGGGATCCATCGTCGCAGATCCTCGTGATACATAGAAGTTGATAAAAGATAACCGTTTTTGAAAAACTTGTATGTTACGTCTGAGAGGAGACCGCCACCATAGACCCTGTTGTCCTCGTCTCGAGCCATCAGCTGCTGATGCATCCAATCCGTTTGAAAGGTCATGTGCATGTTCACACGCTTCATAGAACATGATACAACGTTCAAACCGCGCCTGAAGCCAGAATTAAACCAGGAAGACCAAAAATAAGTGGCAGAATATATATAAGTATCGTAATCACAAAGAATATAATTATCTTGAAATAGAAAACATACTCAGACCAGTGATACATGTCCATAATGAAGTTGTCTGCCGCTCCTGGAACACTCTTTTTGGGGATAACACCTGCTTCCCCAAGGAGCTTACGTCGATAGTAACCAGTCCGATGTAGGTTGCCAAAACCTGCATGGATGTTGCTAGCGGTAACAATTTCCTTCTTGCCCGCAGGAGCTCGTCCGACCTTGCAATCAAATAATTATTAGTAATCTTTTGAAATGGTGCAGAATGAAATGAATTCGAGTGTACCTTGTGTCGTAATGGTCCCACATCAGGGTTTTCAACTACCCGTTTGGCAAACTTGGCCAAAGACAACTTGTCCGGCTTGCCACGTCGAGGCCATCAATGGTTATGGATCCCAGAGTGGTGTATGATGCCCCAGCCGCTGACATGTTCGTCCAACCGGCATAAGGTGTCATTACATTCAATATATTGAAGTTCCTCAGTACACCTTGCAGCAGGACATTTCTGAGGTCTAAATCCATATGAGAGCGATAATGGTCAGAACTATCATCTTTTTCAAAATATTGATACTTTGAAATACTAACTTGCTCATCCATTCTGCTCTCTTGGGGGCTGCTGTTGGCGGTGATCCAAGATAATCGCAACCAAGACTCTTGCAGACTATGACCCCTAGACAGCTATATCTGACTGTTCGCCAGTCACCTGGGCCTTTGCTTTTGCCACCAGCCGATGTATAAGTGAATCCAAAAGTCCCCCAGTTGGTGAACTTTTGCTCGGCTGATAGTCGAAGAAAGACAGTGTTTCCATTTGTGAATAATGGATAACCTTTGTCGTCAAGGGTAGTGTTGTCATCTATGAATGTTTCGAAAGATGGACGGTCCAAGGGTAGCCTGAAGGTTTTCTTAACTTTGATAGCCACCTTCTGACCCTTTGTCGAATTGGTAGAAATGGAGGATTTCTTTCCCTGAGACTGTAATGGCGGAGAAGTAAGAGGAGGTTTTCCCTTGGTCGAATTTGTAGAATTGGATGATTTGTTTCCCTGAGACTGTAACGGAGGAGAAGTAACAAGATTTTTCGAAGCAAGATAAGGTTTTTCATCTTTGAATTCAACTTCTTCAACTTCTTCATCTTCTTCATCTTTGTATACATCTTGTTCATCTTCTTCGTCTTTGTCTTCGTATACAACTTGTTCATCTTCTTCGTCTTCGTATACATCTTTTTCATAAATTTCAGGCTCAGAGTCACTGATATGTGAATATCGATCTCCTTCAGAGTTGCTACAGTAAGATGGGTCACTCATGTTGGTGAACGTAAATGTTATTGATTAAATTCTTGATAGTAATGATTAAAGGTCAATTGGGTATTATTGATAAAGCAAAACTGATCAAAATGTGGAATTAAACGGTAGAAACTGATTGAAAGGTGGAAATAAATGATAATTGAGATTAATGAGGAATTGAATTATGATGTGGTTATTGTTGAGGTTGATTGGTTAGAGAGAGAGAGATATGTAAGATTATTCTGATAAAGAGATGATGTTGTTGAACTAGCAAAACGAAATGATCGTTTCTAAACAAATTGATCAGTTGAAAGCTCGAAAAGATCTTTCTTTCTTCATCATGAGGGCTAGTCATTATGACACCCCTTTCCTCTCGTTTCGCTATCTGTCAATCCTTGGCTTTGGATCGGTAATATTTCATCAATCCGTCGGATTGGTAGTGATTGCTTTCTTCATCAATCCGATTGGATTGGTAATTATCTGCTTTGATCGCAAATTTGAACATTTCGTGCGAAATGATTGACTTTTCAGGTTATTGTTTTGCGATGCTTTGAAATGACTGTGAGACTTGGCCTGTGAAAGTATCGATTAGAGGCGATTTATGTACTTTTGCAAGGATTTTTATTTGCAATCAAAATGTGTCGCGAAGTTTAGGTTGCAAAATTATATAATGTATGTACAGGGATGTAAATTTCAGGTGATCTTTTTGCGACTGTATTTTTTGCGATCATTCTGAATTAGGGTTCAACTGTAAAAATATGATTTGCCCCGGGATAAATTGACTTTTACGGACATCAGTCTTTCCGGTCTTTAATGACCGCAAAGTGATGATCGCAAATTTCTACGATCCCTTTCTTTATATTTGTCTTCTTTATACTATTTCTGCGGAATTTAATACATCTTTCTCCGCAGTAAAGCCCGCAATATTGCGCTTTAGCGCAATATTGTGGCAATATTGCGAAAATATTGTGATTTTGCCGCACCGCAACCCCGAGAGAAAAAATTATACAAAAAATGTGGTACATTGCGCAGAAAGCGCAGTGCAATGGAATATGGAGTTATTTTGTTGCGTTGCGCTGCGGTTGCGCTATCGCCTGAAGCACATTTCAAAGACCGCTTTCGACATATTTTACAGCAAAAATGGTAGCGGAGCTCTAGCTGAATGACTTTATCACTTATATTCACGTATAGCATAGTTCTTTCGAAGATGGAACAGAAGATAAGGATAATTGGTTAACACAAACCCTTATCCAATTACTCGTGAGGTGTGTTAGGAGATAGCGGCTTACAATTGCGGCCTTTGATAAAGTTAATTCTTAACCGAATTGAGATTATCATACTCTAGGGAGATACTTAGGAGAATGTCTCCTAGGAAGTTCCTTCTCGAGAACTGTCCTACCACTATCCCGTCAAATACCATCTTTCTAGAACAGCATCCTACTAGGTTGTGGTTTGGGGTGGGTCCCAGGAGTTGGGGGTATGGGGTATCAGGTTCCTTCCTTTCCCCCATCCCGACCCCCGCGACGTGAGGACAGCGCCTGAGAAGTTCGACTTCTCAACCCCATCACTCACGGAAGGTAGAGCCGTGAGCCTGAGAAGTCTAACTCCCAAACTCAACTGACGTGAGTGCTATCTCACCGCTCTCCGACTCCTCCACCTCCGATCTGAAGCCGCTCGTCGGCTTAACCTTAACCATGTCTATATTCAGAGCATTGTATACATTCAATTCCATGTGTTCTCACTTACGGGGCGCTCATGATTTTCAATTGATGTCAAATCAATTGTCGTAATTACTGAACTACTTTTCAACAAGGTTCAAACTTTATTTCTTTTCTAATCCTCGTCAAAGTTTCAATTCCTTTAATAATTTTACCGTCTCTTTTAATTCCTTGTCATCGAATTTTCTCAGGTAAATCTTATAAGCATCTGATGACCATCTTCCCAGCCTCTTCACTTCTTCTCGCGTCGCTCCCAAGTTCCACCTCAATGACGCTCCCCCTATCCTGAAGGAGTGGCCGTACAATCTTCTCTTGTTTGCTGGTCTATTCAAATTCCAAATTTCTCTGTACCTTTCAATTAACTTAGTTTTTCTGAATACCAACCCTTTCCCGTCTTGTCTGTTTATCGCAAACACCTGATCTGTTGGTTTCCTTGATCTGAAATCGTACAATAGCTTCAAGGCCCTTACCGGGTCGATGCAAGATTTTTGGTCCTGTAAGTGAATATAATGTATTTCTCCTGGTTTGGCAGTTTTCAATCGGTGTAAGGCTAAGCTGACGTAAGAACCATTCGGTCCCCATTCTACTTCGTCCCACGTTGGTAGCCAGGCTTTGGGATCGTCAGACACCAATTCCCCCAGTCTTGCACACCCCCAAAAGGCCACTAAGGCGATTGTCGTCGCCACCAAGTCTTCCTCCACCTCCATGTTTCCTACCCTCGCCAACTGAACTAGATCGGCTATCATGACTGGAGGTCTCTTCTTTTCAATTTCCTTGTGTTTCAATTTGATGATTCTAGTCGCCTTCAAAAGCTTTGACACTGCCAGCTCTGAACCGATTGGATACTTGCATTTATGGAACAAGTGCCATGCTTTTATCCCAGCTAAGTAAGTCAAAATCGTTGTTGATTTCACGGATTCATCGTCTTCTGCCTTCGAGACCCCTTTCATTGATGCCCATACCACATATTTCTCTACCAATTCTTCTGAAATAGGTAACAAGTCTTTCTTTTCCACCTTTTTTACGTCTGCAAATCTTAACAACTTCACTATCCCCAAATTATAATGCTTCAATGTACCTTCGACCCAAGCTCCTCTTAGAAAATGCATTTGTACCTCATCAACATCCGATTTATCGACTCCAGGCGCATTCTTTTTGAAACATCCAAACGGCTTTGTCGCTCTCAATACCGACTCGAAGGATTTTAAGTCTTTTTTCCCTAAGTCTTTCGTTGCTTTCCTCGGCATCACGTTTCCAAGATTATCAAAGTGTTAGCTGGTCGTTCGTCGGTTGAGGTAGCAACACCTGGTGTAGTAATTCTTGGAGATCAGTAGGTATTTCGATCTTGATCTCATCCATCTCTAGTCTTCCAGCTAAAATACCTCTCAACAGCCCATCTGCAAGGTTATTCTTGGATGCTACACGTTTCTCTTTAACGTTACAACCTAATATTGTGAGTAGGTGCTGAATGCGTTTCATCTCCTCATTTACCCTTTCGGACTGGCACTACTTTTGCCAACGCCATGAGCCCCAGTCTGATTGTGACTGTTTCCGCCCACGCAATGTTGCGTTTACCGGTAGTCAGACCTTTTACTAGCCAGTCTTCATTCCATGCAAAACATGCCCAGTTCCGACCAATCAGAACCCCGATCCTAAGATTTGTAATATGATGGACAATCAGCTCTCTTCAACTTCGCCACAGGTGTCCTGTTTCTCTATTTTCACTTACCCGTAAGTCGACGAAGCATCCCCTACCCAGTCCACTACTTCCGGGACCTTGCTAGGTTACGGTACTAATGTGCATGATTCAAATGTTTCTAAACAGATCTTCCATTCCATCAGATCTGTTAATACATCCGTTGGAGTGAACCTCTTTGCTCCCAGGTTTTTCCACGACTTCAGCCATCTATAGAAGGAGCATAGGTAGGCCGCCATGTGCGGTACAATGTGTATCGTGTGTCCTAGTCTCCCTAAGAACCTTTCCACTTGGTCGAATTTCCAGTCTTTTGTTGGGTCCAGATAACGGTTAACTTGTGTAAGTCTCTCATCTATTTTCTCTTGAGGCAATCTTACTGAGTGTTTTCTCCCGTTCCAGATGAACCCTAGGAACTTCTGTTCCTCAGCGAAGTCTCGGTTTTTCTTCGCGCTTGTCTTTACACCCATTCCATCACTCAACTCTATTATGTGTTGTAGTTCGACCTTGTCGCCTGGGCGTTTAACACTAGGCTATCGTCCACCCACCTGAAAACCTTCGGTATTCCCAACAAACTCACAATGATCGTCTTCCACGTTTCAGCCGCCGCTCCGAACACTCCACAGCTTGCTACCCCTCCGAACCCTACCGCCAAATCCACCCATATTCTACCTTCGAAGTCCATCACGCATAGGAATCGTCGTTGGGAAGGATGCAGGCCTAATTGTTGGTAAGCCTTACTCCAGTCTACCAACGCTAGTTCCCATTCTCCTGGATTATCACATGAGAATTTTGCTACCATCCTGAAGTCATCCCAGTTAGTCTGGTAATTCTTCTTATCTACAAACGAGTTTACTGATGGTATTCCAGGCTTGTTTTTTGGGTAAGACAGATCATATATCAACCTTACTGATCCGTCTCCATTAATTGAACTGCCCATTGGGTTCATTCTAAAGAAACCAAACTTTTGGTAGACCTCTTCGTGAGTAAATGGTCCTATTATCCTTCTTTCTCTTGCCTCTTTCGCTAACGTATTCTTTATCTCTTGTTTTACGTCTTCAGCTGATTCGTGATTTGGTGGGGTATACCACTTCATGTCTCCTATTGCATGCTGTGGTATTCCTAAACAAAAGCCTTCGGTAAATCCTTCCGTGACATAAGGTATGTCATCTTCTAATCCTACCGCTTTCATCAAGTTCTCCCATTCCTTCACGTTCATACCTGTTTCTACCTTCTTTGGCCAGTCGCTCATGACTTTCGCTTTGAAGGTCTTTCTCTGGTTCAACGGTAGTGCTACCTTGACCTTCTCTTCTTCCGAATCATCGGTTCTTCCTTCGCTATCCGAGCTAGTCCTCTCACTATCCGATAGCTCGTTATTTTCAACTCCGGTTTCAACCTCAATCCTACCCTTAGTCAGCTTTCTGCTGCTGTGTGTCTTCAGATTAGGAGTTATCAACTCCGGTTCGGTTCTCTCAGTGGGTCGTCTCTCAAAGGTCTCATGTCTTTGACATTTCGGGCAAGGGCTAAATCGTGCACAGCAATCAAATTCATTGCTTCTCAGACCTTCTACATGACAGCATTCAACTTCACACAAGAGAATCATCCCGTACCGGTCATCCCACGCATCAACCAACCCATTTCAAGTTTTGTTGTAACTGAAATTTCACCGTCAGCGTATCCGTTTCAATCCATTGAAAGAGGTAACCCGGGCAAGGACAAAAAAGTCTCCAAACGTCAGTATCTAACCGGTCCGTCTGCATGTAACCTTCCTTTGCTCACCTATCACCCTTCCCGTAGCCTTTCCCGTTTCCCCTGCTCCCTCTGCTAGAAGACGATGCCTGGTTATTCGCATGCTTCTGGCCTAAGGCTACCCACTCTTTCCCCATACTCTTCTTCTGATAGTACGTTTGGGGCTGAGTATTCGCACCAGATGGTGTCTCCTCTTGGTTGTACCAATGGCCTCTATTCCCACCTCGCTGTTTCCTGTTCTGCCTCCAGTTGGCTTTCGACGAATTGTTCTGTTGGAACTTGGGGTTTTGATTCGTCACTTGCTCCTTCTCCTGACCTGTCCTGAAGTCATATCCAAACTTCTTTTGACCTACTGCGTACGGGTTACATTTAAATTGTAAGTCCCCGGCCATCTGGGCATCACACCTTGCTTCTCTGGCTGCTTCTTCGTCAAGACCGTCCGGTAGAACCACATCGTCTAATTTCCGTTTCTTCTTCCCATTTTCCTCATAAACCACCGATGATCTAACTCTGAACGTGACCGCTCTGATAGCCAAATGATACCTCAACCCGACCATCCAGCACTTATTCTTCCGAGCCAACTTACTATGTCCTTGTGTTTCTCTATGTAGGTTGCATAGTCATCAAATCTGTATCTTTCTTTCGCATAACAATACTCCAATTCACAGGCCAACACAAACTCTCCGTAAGTCATCTGCTTCTCTAACTCTTCCCTCGTCTGATGATGGTTATCCCACCTCTGTTTACCTTCCTTCGTCTTCGCCATTGATTTGTATTTGTCGATGTATGCTGCATCGAAGACTGATAATGGTACGTAGTATTTCATACGTCTAAAGTTTTTCTCCCACTGGGGAGGTAGGTCTGGTAGGTCAACCGCTGACGCCTTAGTGAATCTAAAGGTTACTGGTTTTTCGATCTTTAACCCCTTCCTTTCTTCTCTAGAAGTATCCGACTCGGTTTCGGAATCTTCTTCAGAGTCTTCCTCTCCGCCCAAAGGCTTTCGGTTCCTCTTCTTCGGATTGTTCTCATCTTCTGAGGATGATGATGAAGATGATGATGGTGAAGAGTCGGTGTCTTGTGCTGAAGGTTCGCGAGCTGATCTATTCTTCGCTTTTTCTTTCTCCTCCTTCTCTTTTCTTATCTCTTTCCCCTTCTTCTCTCCTTTTCCCCTTCTTCGCTTCTCCTCCTTCTCTTCTTTCCTCTTCCCCTTTTTCTCTAACTCATCATTCTCCTTCTCCTTCCTCTCCTCTTCTTCTAAGGCTGACTTCTTCCTATACTCTTCTCTTAATGCCTCTAGGTCTTCGTCACTCCAACCTTTGAGTGCATCTACCAACCTGTCCAATAATGGTCGGTTGTCTTGTAACTTCTTCGAGCTGGACCTCCTGAGGTTTCCTGCTGGTTCCCTTCCAGGTATGACTGTTTGAAACAATTCAGAATACATATGTGTATCAGTTTCCAACCTTAGTCACTCATAAGCTACTACGCTTTGCGGAGCTGCCTTGCCTAGAGTGCTACCACAGATTTCTGGAGCGAGGGGTTTGATAACCCCCTTAGGACTAGGACTTTCCTCTTTGATCAGGGGTTTACCCTTTAGGAGCGCTGTGCAGCTCTACTGTGACCGTCCCATTCCTCTAGATTTGTCCAAAGAATATGACTTACTTTGGTCCGCCTCGATCACTGATCTAAGGTTTCTATCTCTTTCTCTACTCCATCCTTCATCCTCTGTTGACGATACTGACGATGATTTCTTCTTTGCTTTTCCTTTCCTTTTCTTTTTCGTCTTTTCCATCACCTCTAACTCTTCTGACTCTGAATCCTCAGTATCAACCTTGTTCAATTCCTCCGGACCTAAGACGGCCTCTTTCATGTCTTCTATTGACTTCTTCATCTTCTCCAACTCTCGAGCGTCTTCCTCTTTCTGACGATCTTCTAATGTTTTCTCAATGAATTCTTTCTTTATCTCCAAGATCGATATCGAGGTGTTGGTTGTCTGTCCTGATGACGTGCCTTGATTGGCCTCTTCTCTTTCGTTCCTCTGATTATCTTCCGTAGCAGTTCCTACCCGCAATTCAGCTCTCCTCCTCCTCATTTCTGCTTGTTCTAACTCCTTCTCCTCTTGAGCCTTCTTCTTTTCTTCCGCTAGCTTTATTGCTTGAATCATGTGGATAGATTTAAATTGTGTCTGTGTATTTGTTTTCTACTTGAGTTGTCTCCACATTCAGCGTGTGAATTTTCAGTTGGTGGTATAAGCTTCTGTAAAGGAATTAGATTTCCCCGCTTCTTATTGAGTTCTTTGATGAATGTATGACTTTTAAAGTTAATTTTTCTAATCCTAAATTTATTTTCTGGTCGTAATTGTTGTTCTCGTCTTGTGAGTTCGGTTATACGATGAGATTACTGTCAGGATTATTAATTGCTACTCAAAAAATTTCTGAAGGATCCCCGCAGTGATCTAGACTCGTTGGA